CAATCACTATGATAATAGACACGCAGGCAGGATTCCGGATGACCTTCGCAATTGTTTTAGCGTGTTGAAAAAATGCCACAACAAGTTTGATTGTCTCATTAATGAGATGTTACTCATTAAACAATTACGACCGTGTTTAAATGTACAATCAGACTCAGTTCGCGCTAAAGTCTTTGTCTAGCTTATGCAAATTAGAAACTCTGAACTCTTAGTTACTCTTGAAATCGCATATTTAATTAGTTTCCCTTGACAATGGCGCCAAGATGTCACCGAAACATCGGATTTATCTATCGTTAGTTTTTGCCTGTATATAATAATAATAATAATAATGACTTTATTACCGTGTCAATTTCATCTAGCAGTGGAGAATCCCCACTGCTAACTGGGGACACCTAACTAGAACTATCTAAACATTTAGTGTTCTTTTTATGCCATCCTACCCCATGGCGAATCTTTAAAGCAAAAAAATAAAAATAAATTTAAAAAATTTTTGAAGGAAATTCTACTGTTTTGTTTTTTTCCCCTTCAGTATTAGTTGAAGTGGCAGACTTCCAGATAACATATAGTACCTCTGGTAATCAAACCAAGAAGGGTGTTCCTAGACTTGTGTTCCGGAAAAATAGGACCAAGATTTGGGTTGGTGGTAGCAGAATGCCACCAAAAGATCGTCCTAAGTGTGGCTTTAACAATGAACTATGTCCTCCTCCGACAGAGAAACCTTCAGGTTTGTTCCAAATGTATTTCTCAACTAGTTACACATTATTTAAAAGAAGATCATTGTTTGCTTCAAAAAAAAAAAATTAAATATGACTAGGAAAGTTCAGGTTCGAAGTGTGCAGTAGGCATGGTTAAAATTGATGATTGCCTGGTCACCAACTGGTAGTGATTTGAAGCAGACTGGGCTTTGACTGTGTATTTTGCAACTACATTACAAAACAATAACTATTGCAATGTATTCCGAAGTACAAGTTTAAAATAATGAATTGTTAAAAGTGCTGAACGTGTCTTTTGACTTTGTTTGAGTTAGAAATTAGGAGATCTTGGACTGCTATTAAATGAATGTATATAAGGGACAACGTTCATCATGAATTATGCTGTCTTGGAATATCTGGCTTCACAGTGCACTGGGAGATTTATTAATAAAGCAAACAATTGTCAAATACTTCTGTAGTGTTCGTGGCTAGTCTGACGCGGCATTTTGTCTCGGCCAGGAGACTCTTTAGAGACTTTTAGAATTCATAGGCAAACTCGTTGAGCATCACGCCCAAAGTCCTGTTCGCAAATTCTTGATGTTGACAGTCTGGCCGTCTATCACAGAAGGATTCCCAACCATATGTTTGCAAATTAAATTTATACAAAAGCAAACAATTGTCAAATACTTGTGAAAAGTTCGTGGCTAGTCTTGACATGGCATTTCATCTCGGCCAAGAGACTCTTCAGAGCCCTTAAGAATTCATAGGCAAACTCATTGAACATCACGCCCCAAAGTCCCGTTCGCAAATTCTTGATGTTGAGAGGCTGGCCCTCTATTGCAGAAGGATTCACAAGTATTTGGCAATTGTTTGCTTTTATATAAATTTAATTTGTGAACGTACGGTTGGGACATACATGTAACAGACCCCATAGGTCACATGACCTATACCCAGGTCCCAGCAGTGTGTGAGAAAAACATTTTTTACTTATTCTATTTGACTCAGCTAGTGAAAAATTACTCTTTTTCCTTTTCCCCTCTCTCGTGCAGCTTCATTACATATGCTCACAATAATAATTTTTCTCATATTTCAAAATTTAACTTCATTTATTTATCTTTGTTTATTCAGACAACAAAACGGAAATCATTGCAGGAGTTTCGTGTGGTTTGGGATTCCTTGCTCTTCTCCTTGTGATCAATCTAATCAGGTAAGTACTGTACATTAAAAGTTTTCTGTTGCTCACATGTACTTAAAATGCAGTAGCCTGTAGTTAACTATGGAGTGTAAATAATGTGTATCATTAATTTATTTTGTTTGAAAATAAAACAGACATTTGATTTCTTGCTGTGAACTGTTGAATTGTTGTACTTTCTTGATGGATCCACATTTGACTTTACCACATTATGAAGAACCCTATATATGTTCATCATCATCTTGCTGTTGTGGGATGCACAACCAAGTCTCATCCCAGTGACTTGCGTACCATGCCTCTAGTTCCCAATGATTATTGCACCTGTCTTCTGATTCCAGGCTTGGACCTGTCACGGCTCAACACTGACACTTACCCCCTTTCCACTTGGAAGTAAATTTACTTCGAAAATCAACCAAAATACTTACCTGATCTGGAAAGTAGATTATGGGCTATGCTGGAAAGTAACTTTTCCCTTAAGAAAGATCTAGTGAAAATCATGTGTATTAAAAAAATAATTAAATGATAAAAATAGCCATATTACAGTATCAAGAGAGCTGCCAAGTAGGTCTAAGTGCGATGAACACACATGGTATGGTGCAATAAAATCCACCATTTTGGAGAAAGATGGAAAGTAAAATAATATTTGAAATCTACTTTCCAAAGTGGAAAGTGGTGTAAAAAGTTGGTGTCAAGCCCTGCCTGTGATGTATTCTTAGCTTTACACTACAGTCAGGATAAGACTTGTTATTTTCTCAGTGGATCACCCCACCCCTGTATATATGTATGCCATGAAAATTCAAGTGACTCTTGGGATATTCCATAGTATACCACGCAAAGCGTTACATGACTAGTACAGTATCTGTTTGTACTCTTAATGGGTGCTGGTGTATTGTTGACACCAACCTGTCGAGTTTCTCTGCTGCGGATGACCTAGATCAGGCTGGTGATTAACAACAGAATACCTGTCAGAGGGCTTGTTGGTGGTGGGTGTTATTGATGAAAACAACAACAACAACAACAACAACAACAACAACAACAACAACAGCAACAACAACAAAAACAAACACAGAATGAAACCAGGATGAAACAACTACATGTATTTGTTACCAAGAACAGGGAGAAGCTTACATTTGGTCGAAATAATTAGCTGGCACCTGCATGTTGCTGAAAGTGTTTGTAACAGTTCGAACATTTGGTTGGTTAAACTATTTTTTTCTGTTGTTTAAACTACATGTAAGGTTTCAGTGAGTCTTCTAAGTAGGAAACTTACAAAGGGTCTCAGTTTTTTTCTCAAAATAGTCATTAAAAAACACATCCTGTAACTTATTGTTTTGCTTTTTTCCAGGCAGTACAGGTTAGAAAGAGAACTGAAGAATAGATTGTGGAAAATTGACTACAATCTTTTGGGCTTTGAGCGGAGAACTTCCAACACATCTTTAGCAAGTGCTATTGTAAGTGAATAATTCAAAACATGCCCATATCAACTGCTTATAACTTGTGTACATGAACATAACTGTCGGTGATAATCTCTTATGTTGTATACATGTTTTCCCACTGTTCAAATACATATGATATTTCCCATATTATTCACTTGTGCTTTTATCATGAGTATGGTGGCCTGCAATCGCAATAATATTGTGATTGGTTCTAGTTTTCTTTGCTGGTGGAAGCCAAGAGCTTTGCAGTGAGGTCATAATCACTGATTAAAGTTGATTCCTTTATAACACGTGACCCTTTGTATTGTAGAAAGAAGCAAATGAAGAGGCTCTACCACTCATGAGGGAAGAAAGCAGTGATGGCAAAATCACAACTGTGGGTAACTACAAGGTAATGTGGACTGTGAACTGATAGCTTCTTTACACGTACAAAATATGTGGGTTATTGACCTAGCTAGTGTGAGGGCAAGATGGCTGGATATCACAATTGTATGGACCTAGAGGTACTCGCAGTCCATAACTCGTAAGAAAAGATCAATGCCAAGATCCAGCCATCTTGACGGAAGAACCTAATGCAGCTACATGTAACCATAATTATAATAATGAAATACTAAAACCCTTTGATGAAATGTAGAAGCACAAAATAATTTAAAACTATCCAAAAAAGTCTTGTCAATGTGCATATTACCATCAGAATAAATTGATGTCAGTTAATTAACTAAATTAATTAACTAATGATGTTATGTAGTTTAAGGTCAAGTGATGTGTTGTGTTGTTGGGAAGACCCTTCTTTTTCGTAGTGTTTCTGCATTCAGAAGTGTAACTGCTGGGTATCTTGATAGTAGACATTGATAGATAGAAGATTTTCTTGCTAAATTTGCAATTGGGGAAAGAAATGCAAAACTGACCAATCACAACCGTGGGTGAATATTTCACACACACGTAGCTTCAGTTGAAGATTGCATTCATTTATTGGATTTTTCATTGTTCAATTTTCTTCCAAGTGGCCCTGTTCAAGTACAGAGTCCGACTGTTAATCGTCACATTCTATCATGTCTTATGCAGACGTGATTTTGTTAGTATGCTTTTAAGTGACAATGTTGTTATGCCAATTATCTTTATTATCTTAAACGTTATTGCATTGCTGGTGTCAGTTTGTACCAAATAATCAGGGGTTCAATTTTTGAAGCTCTCCTTAGCTAACTCATCGTCATCATTGTTTATAGGCTTTTGTATTTAAACATTACGTACGAGACGTGTTAATCTAAAAGGCCTTTGTGAATCTGGTCCCAGATTATGCATATTAAAAATAAGTGTATCATGCACGGACTAAGAAGTTTTGATAATTTATTGTATGGCTCTTGGTTTGAGTTTGGAATCGTAAGGGGGATGGTAGTACATTTAACCAAATCAGAAGTCGGCTTATTTTTTATCTTGCAGGGAAATATGGTAACGGTAGCAAAACTTCCTAAAGGGCGTATAGATTTGACAAGAAAAGTTCTTTTAGAGCTGAAACAGGTATTTATTATGTCTTATTTGTTGTTACTAAATGGAGACAACTTACCAGTGTTATTGTTTGACGTTAAGTTCTTTTTTGCTGGAATTACTATCCCATGTTCAGAGTTTAAGCTAGAAGGAAAGCATACTTTTTTGAATGTCACTTTTACGTTTCTGGCTAAAAGCTGCAAAGAAGGCTAGTGTTAAAACTCTTGTTTAAAGTGGCGGTTTGCTCAGCAATCAGTTGGTGAAGACGCTATTGATATTTTAAAAGATACATGTGCAAGCATTGCCTTTATTTTTTTTTTTTACTGTTCTAGGCTTTCAGTTTGAATGCTTCAGATTTCTAAGTCGTAATGCAGTGATGATATACATGTCACAAGCATTTTAGGGTTTAGTTGTACTGACTTTCTGTTTATTTTTTGGTCATTAGATGCGGGATATTAGACATGATAATTTGAATCAATTCATTGGTGCTTGTGTAGAGCCAGAAATTTGTATTGTTATGCAGTATTGCTCCAGGGGAAGTCTACAGGTAATGAACTAGCATACAACAGAACTGCTCATGCTCTCTTGATAGTGTGTGCGAAATAGAACATGCGAGCTTTGTGGGTAAACCAAAGATCTTGGTAATATTCTTCCTTAGCATTGAACAATGTGTGCAGAAGGCTATGTGGCTGCAATAATTTGTACGAATTGCGGGCCTATGACGATGGCACTACCGGACAAAGTCAAGACAACACAAGATAAATTATATGTGTTGTAATAATGGAGCAGTCTCTTTTAACCGGGCAGTGATGTTATTTGGTACAGGCCAAATGCAAGATCTATTTTTAACTAGACTGTCTTTTCAGAAGGCAAGAATGCAACAGGGGGAAAGCGTCGATGAAATACAGCAGAGATCAAAGCATTTCAAACCTGCCGTAGTGTCAGTTTTTCTCAAAGCGCTCTTTCCATTAGCTTGAATCGCTTGACAACTGCAACGAACTCGTATAAATGTCATTGCAGTTCTCTTTTGATTTGTTCCTTTCTGCCCTTTCTTGCTTGAAATTTGTAAGTACACATGTAAACCTTTAAACAAATTTGTGTTCTTCAGGATATTTTAGAAAACGAGGACGTCAAGTTGGATCACATGTTTATAGCTTCACTTGTGGCAGACATAGTAAAGGTATGTTTGATGAATGGAAACTTGAAGGATTCTACGAGATACAAACAGTTGGACCACATAAACATGTTCGTGGAATCCAGCCTTTAAACATCGTATTAACTTTTAACGCACGACTTTTATAACATTGGTCTCATAATTATGCAAGATGACGCATGGCATTGATCACATTATTTATGCACAATTTTCTCCCGTTGCTGGATTTCACGTTAATTCATTAATGGGTTATCTGTTTCTTGCAGGGTATGGCATACATGCACAGCTCAGATGTGAAATCCCATGGGAATCTCAAATCATCCAATTGTCTGGTGGACAGCCGCTGGGTGCTAAAAATCACAGACTTTGGGCTCCCGTCATTTAGAACTAAACTGAAAAAGAATCGAGAAGACTACGCGTACTACCGAGGTCAGTAGTCCAGGATATTGTCAACGTAGCATTTATTTTATTTTCTCTTAAAATTAATCATTTTTTTATCAACTCTAACGCAAGGTTGGAGACTTTGTAGTACTGACTTAAAATTGCCGGTTTTTCCTTCTTCTTCTTCTGTCCTTGTCTAATAGATTTACTCTGGGTGGCGCCAGAACTTTTACGAATTCCCAATCGCCCCCAGAGGGGGACCCAGAAAGGTGATGTCTATAGCTTTGCTATAATTTTACAAGAGTTTCACACAAGAGAAGGACCTTACAGCTCAAACTTCATGGAACCAAAAGGTTGGTTTGCTTTCCGGTTTAACTGAGATTTTTTGTAACCGCTTTTTTTTTTGCCAGTAAGCTTGACAAAAATTAGCATGATATGTTGGTCAATGCATATCATTTAAATCTGAATTTTGACCTTAGTATTCGTCTACTGTTTCTTAACAATTGCCAAAAGGTCTGGATAGTAGCAGACATGATATAATTTTTAGAAACAGCACAACGTTTTTTTTAATAACATGTTTCAACAGAATCTTCTGTCATTTTCAGTTTAAATTACAAAGTACAGAGTTGAATGATCATTTGACCTAAATTAAAAACTTGTCATACGTGGTTAATTCTATTTGAAGACAAGTGTATTTGAAGACAAGTGCATTTGACTTGTATGCTGATAGCTTTTTGGTCGCGATGAAGGGCATTGTTTTGATTTGAACGTCTTTTTTCTGCTGTAGACATAGTTCACAGAGTGAAGGATGCTGAGTTCCCGCCTTTTCGTCCAACGGTTACTCAACTGATTACTGGCGTTGAGGAGATCCGGGAACTTATGAAACAGTGCTGGGTGGAGAACCCGGATGAGAGACCAGACTTTCACGAGATAAAGAAGATTATGCACAAAGTTCTCGTGAACAACGGCATGTAAGTTGCCAACTTTATGACATGAAATTCGCCAAATGTTTTGTATCAGCCAGATTTCTGGGCTTAGATGGCCCTTGTTTGATATTTTGGCTCAATTCTTTCTTTGTCTTGCAAGAAAGTTTGAAACAAACTTGAACCAAAATTAATGGCTTCTGTTTTCAACGATTATTCATGGTATTCATTTGACATCGCACCTGTACAAAACATAGCTCCGTAAACGGATTCCAGAGTTGATGAAACGTTTTATCCTTACTTTGAAAGGTCGCTTTTAATTTTCTTGAGTGTACCAAAAAGAAAGAAAAATGGAGAGGAAATATTGAAATACCACGACCACACCAATGCGTTTTTTAAAGTCTCCGTTTTCGTCTGGACGAAAACGAAGCAAAATATTTTCGGCCACACTAGCGTTTTCAGTTTGTTTTCACCTGTCCACGCTAATTCCTTTTCATTTGAAAACGCATACTTTTTGATGCGTTTTCGTCTATCGTCCACACTAAAAATGCTTGAAAACGCTGATGGAAGGGACAGTATATGACGCTTTTTTCAAAAGCCCCCGTTTTCACCTATCTAGACTGGAAACGGAGCGTTTTCAAAAGGCTCCACTTTTGAAACCGTTTTTGAAAACCTCCGTTTTCATCATTGTTTTCGATCGTTTACTTTTAGTGTGGATGATGGGCGAAAGCGCATTAAAAAGTACCCGTTTTCAAACGATAACACATTTAGTGTGGTCGGTGCCAACAATTCGTGCAAATCTGCATTTTACAATAACTGGAGAAATTCTCGCGCGCTCATTGGCCAATTTTCATTGTCAATAAACGGACAGACGCATGAATTTATGACGCAACGAGTGAGAGTGGACAGTGTTGTGACGAAATTCATCATCAATAACAGGACAGAAGCATGGAAAACTGACACCAATTTGTTAAATTTCACTCATGGAACGTGGCCGCTGTAACCGTCACGGGCAGCACCGCGAAAGAAATAAAAAAAAAAAAAAAATGTAATTTGTTTACCCACGGAGCACCAAGGAGTTCACAGAACTCGTTCAGAAATGTCGGTGCATTCAAGGATCGAATTGGAATTGGAATTTGAGAAATTTTGGTGCGAGAGTAGACTTCTGCGCTGCGAGAGTAGACTTCTTTTAGCATCACTGGAGTGTCCCTTTTTTGTTGTACACTCAACAGGAAAACAAACATCTTCGACAACATCGTGTACATGATGGAAAAGTACGCGGACAACTTGGAGGAGCTTGTTGTGGAGAGAACCGGTCAGCTGATCGAAGAGAAGAAGAAAACCGATGCACTTTTGGAAAGGATGCTGCCGAGGTGTGTTTGTGTTCACCGTCGCCGTGCGATACGGTGACGCGAAAAAAATATAAGTCTTACCATGTAAGGCTGTAAAGGTCACGTGATAGATTCACGTGATTCATGTAATGTCTCGTCATGTTTGGTTATAACAGTCATGTTGATAAAGTAACGTGATGTTCAAGCTACTGAGACAAGAGAGAGTCATACCTAGTCAGTCACAGTCAGTCAGACTGCTATGTCGGAGGATGCATGTTACGAAAATCACCCTGTCTCAGGCTAATCTTGAACATCGTTTCTCTTTTTTCAGTCTGTATTATTGAACACAGCTTGCAGTCTATGTTAATCGCTTTTTGTTTTCGCGCGCAATGCAGACCTGTCGCCGAGCAGCTCAAAAAGGGCCAAGAAGTAGAGGCGGAGAGTTTCCATGAGGTGTCAATCTACTTCAGTGACATTGTAGGATTCACCAGCCTCTCATCCGGAAGCACGCCCATGCAGGTATGGATCAACATACAAAATCTTCCTTCTGCTTACCAAGCATTTCATATAATCAGTTTGGGAGAACTTAGTGATTCAATCTGCCCTCAAGCCTAGTAAGTTTAACAGACCGTTGCTTCACTTCGGCTCTAGGCAAGAGGTTAAAATTTATTGTGAATCCTTTATTCTTCTTTTCAAGTGGACTTTAAGAAAGGTGACAGCATCGCTTATTCGACGTTTTGTTGCTTGGTCACAAGTAGTTGTACCCTTAAGCATTTTGTTTGCTTTCGGAGGTTTCTGTTACTTAGTAGAGGCTGAAGTTTAACTGTATGTCAAGGTGATTGCATGATATCTTAGCTTTTCCTGACCTCCGTGCTTTTACCCTTTGTTTATTTTATGGCAAGAAATTAGATAACGATCTGTATCAAGCCTGTCAAACCAGAGAATTCACTTCTCATTGGGTTTATTTCTTGCAGGTCGTCACTCTCCTCAATGATCTTTACACGTTGTTTGATGACATCATTCAAGAGTATGACGTGTACAAAGTAAGAAAACAAATCCAATTCAAACGTACGTGAAGTTGATAGTAAAAATCAAGTCTCTTTCGCAGTCTTTTTTTTCCTCTCGAGCGGTGAACGGTGGCATCACGACGCGGACTTCAAACGACAAACTTAAGAAAAAAATGCACATAGCCCCCTTAACAGTTATGTTGACTTGTGTTGCGTAATGACCTGCCACCATTGAAGAAATAGAACATGACATTTCTACTACTTAGTATATCACTATTACCGCATTCAGTTCCGAGAATGAATGATTGAGATTGATACTTTGTAAACGCTACTCTGTGTTTATCCAGGTTGAGACAATTGGTGACGCGTACATGGTGGTATCGGGCCTACCAATCAGAAATGGCCACGAGCATGCCGGTGAAATATCCCGGATGGCACTGCACCTTGTGGAAGCTGTGAAGAACGACTTTAAAGTTCGACACAAACCGGACCATCAGTTGAAGCTGAGAGTTGGGCTTCATAGCGGTAATTATTGAAACGATTTGAGTTAACCCTCAAAAAAAATGCTACCGGCCTTTTGAATGAAAAAGCTCCTTGAGAGAGATGTCCTGTGTATTATGCAAAGATTATGTGTCTGTGTTTATTTTGTATCAGTTACCTTTTTAAATTTCAGTGGTGGAGAATACAAGCCCATTCCGCTTTCCCAGATAAGGTTCTATTGATAGACGTAAAGCGTATATTGCAAACCGCCTTGGAGAGGTTTGACGGGTCGTCACCTACTCGCATAGCTATAGAAATGGTGGCGAGACTGGGAGCGGATATTTTCCTGCCATGCACGTAATCTTGAATGACGGCATTCGTTTCAGGACATCTGGACCTCTATATGATATGTTCAGCCATTTCTGCGATGTCAAAGTGACTTTAGAACGAAGAAACAAGGAAACGATGGTCAAGACGGGGGAAGGTTGAGATGGATCGTTAACGACGGAATCGGAATTGTTCTGGGGCTCATGCGAGAGACTGCTTACCTCTCATGCGAGCGACTGCCTACCCTACCCAGCCTTGGTCTAGTCTGCAGGCAGCCGGTTTTTTCTCCGAGGGTCACTGGGACGCGTGTTTAGTCATCGCGAACGTAAAAGGGCGATATGGCAGTGGCCGAGTAGGGAAGAAGGGGGGACAAGGGCGGTATGACCGAGTAGGAAAGAAGGCGAGACGAGAAAAAAACATCTTCTCGTCCGTGCCGCGCCCATGTCTCGTCCCATTCCCCTTTAGCCAAAACGTCTCGCCTCATAACCCCTACTGAATTTCGAGAGAAAAACAGACTGCCAGCAGTCTACCCCTGGTCTTGCTTCATTATGTCTGTTATCGAATGTAAATTTGTTTTGATAACGATTGTTCATACTGTACTTCGTCACAGGTCCTTGTGTTGCTGGCGTGGTTGGTAACACCATGCCTCGTTACTGTTTGTTTGGTGACACGGTCAACACAGCTTCGAGAATGGAATCTAACGGAGAAGGTTTGTATCTGTAGCTCTTTCGCGTGCAAATTAACTACAACCTTAGTTGGTGAAATGCGACATTTTCTCCCGACGGGGATTAGTTGCTTGTTTCTCATGTTTATCGTTGTGGTGACAATGTAAAGAGAAATTAAATACTCGCCACCAAACAAGCTTCGTTGTGTCAATGACTTCAGTCGACACATTTTTAGGTCTCGTAAATCTTCGGAAGTGTTCGGAAGTTTTCGGTAAAAGAACGGAAACGTTCGAGTGACTTTCGGAAAATGTACAGAAAATGTTCACAACTCTTCTGTTAATCGCCGAAACCGTATTCGGGTTTGTCCGTATAATGAACAATAATAATAATAATTCTCCTCTCGACTCTCATGGTTGTTCGGTATTTCATTTTACAGCTCTCCGTATTCACATCAGTCAAGCTACCAAGGCAATTCTGGATGACCTGGGAGGCTTTGAAGTGGAAGAAAGAGGAGAAGTGTTTTTAAAAGTAAGAAAATAAAATACACCATGCAAGTAAAACATGAAATGGCGATGCCAGAAGTGTTGTCTGAGGCTGCATAAATCTTAGTTCAGAGAAAATAACTTCAGCATTATGTATTAAATATTGAGTCTATCTGTCTGTAAAAAGTTATTTTTTACGTTAAGTGTAGATTCACCCAAGAGGAAAGAAAAATTGATGCGTTCGCAAAAAAGCGTTGTTAGGGCGGTAAATTGTGATGGGTTTTTATAGAGTAGGTTCGGTGGTGATGGAGCTTTGTATTTTGCTTACGGTAAATTGTGTCTAAAAATGTTCAGGTGTCTATAAGAATACTGTGAAATAAGGTGTTTGCGTTCTTCTGTTACTTTTGTTGTTGTTGTTGTTTTGAGAACTCTCTTTACTTTATTTGAAGGCGTTCACATTCTTACAGTCGATCAGAAATCAGCATTAGCAGGTCCTGCAATGTTGCATAGCAATGTGTAGCAAAAGTCATCTGACTGAGCCATTTCTCAGGGATGTTTGTTCCTGTCCTTCAGAATGTAATCTGTGATATTCGGTTTTGACATGAATGTATATTTTTTCCGACGCGGAACAGAGATCTGGGTGCGAGCGTAGTACGCGAAGGCTCATGGTTAGTACTTTTGTAAAAAGAGACGGCTGAGAAACTTATGACATTCTACGGTCAGCCTTGCCAATCGCCTGGCTGACCAACGCGCCCATGCCTCATAATCTTGAGTGTGTTCGGTTGTGTAGTGAAGCAAATGTGTCATAATATGTTGTTCTTTTTGTCTCCTTACAGGGTAAAGGCACGTGGAAAACATACTGGCTAATAAGCGCTGTTAAGCGCCCCAGCTGCAAAGCAAACAAACATCTTCACCCCAACGGTCAACCGTTTATGAACTATCTGAACACTCCTGGGCATCACTTCGGCTCCAACAGTTCGCTCAATCTGAAAAGAACCGATTCTTTACGACGCTCATTAAAGGGAAATTCTCCCAGCCCGATAAAGAAATCATGGCACAAGACAGACGAGGAGTCGGCGGCTCTGCTAAACCAGACGACTGTATGACTGGTGCACGTTTTCACTGCGCTGATTCGCGATTTCTTTGCTTGTTGACTTATCGATTAGATATCGACAGAGGCGAGGGAATACTCGGATTGTAGCGGAAATACTCGGGATGTTTCGGAATCGTTCAGAATGTCTCGGAAGTAGTCTAGATGCCTCGGAAATGCTCGAGTTAACTCTGGATTACTCGGGGTGTTTTTGGAACACCCGAGAGGTTTCGGAGTGCTCGAGAAGTCTCAGAATAGCTGAACACATTTCGGAAATGACCGAGATGTTTACTAACTGCTTGAGATGTCTCGAGACTATTCAGGATTTCACAGAAGTGCGCGGGTTGTCGCCCACGAGATCTTTCTTGTGTACACAAACGCTTCTGATTTGTAGCTGGGTTACGAAAATAGAAAGTGTTTGTTAGAAACAAAGAACTTATAGTGATATTCGACCCGTGAGACCAGCTTGGCCTCTGAATTTCCATATCGTTGTAGACATTTACAATGTAAGATAGTTATATATATCTTTGAAGTTCAGCGTTGTTTAACAGCGCTAGTACCCCATCCGACGCTTCTATACAGTGGAAACTCTGTAAATATTCGAAAACAAGGTAGCCAATCATTTTACACTGAGTGTTTTTAAGCCCAATCACTTCCCAGGCCTCGCTACGTCAGCGATTCGTGAGGGAATGGTAACCATATATATGTACATAGCTTGTATTTAGCAGGCGGATCGTCAGAGCAGCAACTTTAAAGCAATTCAAGTTGTCCATATCATAGTTATTTCTGAACGAAAACCGCAATATAGGTAAAATTATATTTAGCGTTCAATTGAGTTTTTGGTAAACGTGAGTGGAGAAGTATTGATCCCTACTTCAGTCATTAGGAAATTTTTTTTTGGTAATATAAATCAACAAGCGAATGTATCGTATACCTTTTTAGAACGTTATGGTGAATTTTGCTCATTCGTAAGCATTCAGCGGCTTATCAGTTAGTTTGCCGTCCGTGTTTGAACTTTTAACAATAGGAGATATAAGCCTATGGTTTTTAAAACTTGAAGGAGAAAAGTAACGTAAACATTTAACAGTTTAGTCGTCATAAATGACAATAAAACTGCGCTTTGAACTGGAAAGTGTCGGAAATTCATTTGCCTTGATTTATGATGCACGAAACTTTCAAGTAGTCAGTGACGTTTGATTTTCTCAGGGTCGTGTCTCTTTACGGTACCTTGAAAAATAAGAGAATCTTTGTTTACAATATTTGCCTTATTAGCATAAGCAATACAGCTCCTGATTGAGCTACAAAAACATTATTTCTGAATATTAAACGGGCACAGCACGATTAACTGCCCCAAGGAATTTGAATCCGATGTATTGAATACTTTTTGCTCGGCGCCTGTTTGAAAATTCAAAATTTTACAAACAATGTATGAGCTCATTAGCACTTTTGCCACCCAGAAATTTTACAGTTGTTGAAAACCAAGTTCTCGAATATTACACCCAAAGAGCCAAAACTTTCACCAGTTACTAAGTTTATATTTGTAGTCAATTCGTGTCTAGCGTGAAGCTTACTCTGCGTAAAGTCGTATGTTAATGAGGAAAAATGCAAACAATGGCTTTAGCAAAGATTCGCCTATAGGTTGATAGCCTGCGAATACAGCCCCTTCGACCCTCGGCGGTGGACAATGAGAGGCGGCTGTATTCGCAGGCTAATAGGTTGGCGATGAATTCAGTATATGGACCGTCCTCCGGGACACAACAAGAAAGTGGCCGTTGTAGAGAGGTGACCGTTAGTGGAGGTCGACTGTATCACAGAAAGTCAAAAAAAAAAAAGAAAAGAAAAAAAGAGAGAGAGAGTTGATATGGTTTGGGGAGACACTGTCTCAAAATTACTGCCGTTTGTCAGGGATTTTGAACCATGTTTTGAGGTCCACAAGTTGGTCTCTGTTCTCCCTAAAAGCGTTAAACTTGGTCAAATGACCAATCTCAGCGTGATCTTTCCTGTGGTCGTCCGGTTATCGATTGGTAAAATTTGAAACTCACCCCAACCTCAACCAGGTTCCCAGGGTCTCTTATCTCGCTCCGGGAGGGCGGGAAGCCGAGAGATCCTGGAAACGAAGTTGACGCAACTTCTCATGATGGCCAGTAATGCACGTCGGTTTGTAACAGAAAGAGACATGTTCGTTTTGTTTTTCATTATTGATTGTTGGTTGTAAACAAAACACTATTACTTAGAATCACAATATTGTTATCTATACTGCAAGTAGTGAATTTTTTTTTCCCCGAAGTTTATTGGACTTATATTTTTTAATACTAATTATCAATGACAGATCGGTCAAGGGATAATAGGAGACCACCCGGATGATCAAAACTCCTTAGGTGCGAAAAACACCAACGCCTTAAAAATCACGATTAACCTGACTGGCAAACAATAATTGTATCAAGTAACGCAGTTATTTCATCAATTTCTCTAAATAGTCCTTGCCACTTGAAAACAGGCAAACAAGTATGTTTATTGCATACCTTCGTCTAGTCGGGATGGATTAACCTCAGATCATTTTGTTGTTTTGGACAATTACTGGTGTAGATCGGTTTAAGGCCATTCCACTGAAACAGAACCTGCACTGAGATTTTATGAAACGTTGCCTATTGATTGTTTATATTACAGGAACTTAAATTTTGAAATAAAAATGAGGGGTCCCCACGTTCGTTTAGGAGCAACAGCACCTTGTTTGTACCCAATAAATCCTTATAATGGCACCATGATTGTAGTCACGATTGCTTGCTAAATTCACGTTTCCAACGATCGTTTTTTGTTCTACTCTGAGAATTGGTCCGTATTTATTTTACACAAAGAAATTTATTACTCAATTCAAAACAGCGCAGAAAAAAATGATAGGTCACCATACTCGTTTGCGAGAAAATGACGATTTACCTGTATGACGAGGTCTAGCCGTAAAGAAAAAGCCGCCATTTTTTAATGCGCGCGTGCTAATCACGCGTGAAATTATGCGCAGTAGGGATGCGCAATGCAATACTGGGGAATAACCTTAATATTGGCCACCAATAAGTTAACTATCATGTGGCAAGCGCGCCATTTTTTGACTCGGCATATCGATCGAGTCTTCCGCGCAGTGTAGTCATTATTCTGTTTCAAGTGCACAGCACATGTCGACTTGACTAAGGTGACAAGAGGTAGGTTTTGAAAAGAGAAGATTTAGTTCAACATTTCGAAATTAATTTCATATATTTTCGAAGGAGATCTACAAGAATCGTTTTTTCGAACTGAGGGTAATAATTGAAATGCTTTTGACATGAACCTGGGCGGACACAAATATATTGTACCGAAAATGCGACTGTTTGGTTGCTTCAGCCCTTGGGCTGTGGAAAGTTGATGAATCATGGCGAAATATACGAGCAAAGTTACTTGGCAGGCGATTCTTTCCTGCGCGATCACTGCCCTTTGAAGTTCAAGTTATGCGAATATTAAAAGCCAAGAAGAACGTCAGCGAAGTGCAGAGCTTTCTTGGTATCCAAAATCCCATATCCAGGCAGCCATCGTGGCCAGAAAAATACCTGAGAGTTGCAATCTAACAGTCGCACCATCACATTAACTTTGTTACAACGTGGGTAGAATATACCTGAGAGTTACAATCTAACAGTCACGCCATCACATTAACTTTGTAACATCGTGGGTAGAATATACCTGAGAGTTACGATCTAACAGTCACACCATCACATTAACTTTGTAACAACGTGGGTAGAATATAACTGTGTGTAACAATCTAACCGTCACGCCATCTTATACATCGTGGGTAGAATATACCTGAGAGTCACAACGGTCACGCCATTATATTAACTTTGTAACAATCGTAGGTACCTGAGAGTAACAATCTAACAGTCACGCCGTCATCTTAACTTTGTTAACATCCCTCTTGGATAGAGTTGCTCCCTTTTGATCTCGGAAGGTACCCAGAAAGGTAGGTGCTCTTCATTTGCTATATTGTACAAATAGTCAGAGCATAAAAATTATTGTCTGTTCTTTGCGCCATAGAACAATTCATGTCAAGGATGCTGGTATTTATTTGAGCGAAATTTTTATCAGTGTTATAATCCTTGATAGCTACACATTTTGTTTTAAGCGATGGTATTTCCGCATGGGAAGAATGGTTCAACTGGCCTTTGAAAATGGAAGCCGTGAAATCGATGTTTGCGCCCATTCCGTGATTTTCGTTTATCCAGTCTCTGCACCACAGGTTGCCGTATATTATCGTAATCTGAGAAAAAAACTGAGTCATGTGGATAAATAAGGTCGAGAAAATTATTATTTAGAACTCCATCCTGATTCCAAACGCGATGTGAGAAATTTGCTCTCGCTAACCCCGGACACAGCAAAAAGGTGGTCAGCCAAGAAAAAACATACCTCTGAGTTCAAATTTCTGTGATGTGCCGGGCAAAAAAAAAATTCGGCGAGTGCGAAACAGAAGAATGGTAGACTTTGTCTTTGATGTGTCTTTCCACACTTGGTGATTAGCCTGTAATAAATCAGTCAATGAGGTAATTAGACCTGTCAAGAAGCTACATTCTCTGTACATGTTAAAAGTTCTAATCGACCTAATCAAACATCCGGGCAAGGCATCATAATATAGATCGAGTATAGAGTGCAAGCTCACGGAGTATTTCAAACTTTATCCTTCCAGAGCCAATACTTAGAGAGCTTAAAACATATTTTGCAATACTGAAATGAGCCTAAAGAAATTATAAACACATGATAGAGGTGTCAAACTCTGCGAAGCAACATGCAAATAACAGCGGAAAGTCCACGCGTTTGATCTCTAAAAAAAATTGCTCTGGCACAGTCAAACGGCTCCACTCTAGATTTAACTACTGCCGATGTGTGGTAGCTATTAACGCTAAAGCGATATATCGCTTCGAAGTCAGGGTTTTGAAGAGATTTTTTTGCAAAGCGTGGGTTCGGGGTGATTTTGTAATCAGAGATTTTTGTCGACCCCTGAAGGAAACAATATCCGGAAAAGGTCATTTCATCGACGATTCAAACGAATATAAATTTATATACGTTCCGAGCTAAATTTCTAGTGGAAAAAAGGTATTTTTGACGAGCGCTGGGGTTTTAATTTTTTTCCCGTGAAAGTGTCGGACGACAATGAGCAATAAAAGCGCAGATCTTGCTCAGTGCTCAAGCGCCGCTATCTGCATCCTTTTAAATTGGAGTTTTTCCTTCTGAAATCAGTGGAAGATCGGTAAGCGTTTCAAGTCAAGCGGACTCTTTTTGCTTTGTTGAGAGGTTTCGTCTGCGGCAGTTTAGTCATCCGCTAAGTTATTTGAAAATGAAAGTGGGTTAAGGTGAGCATGCATGAATAAAATTTCGTAATATTTAAGAAGCCTCGTCTAGACGAGTAATTTTTATGTGACAAATATATCTGATCGTGTAGATGGCACGGCAAATATTTGTCAGCTGTTCAAAGTTTAGTGCGCCGGTAATGACTTCGGACAGCAGAGATACACAGAGAAAAAGGCGAGGCTACGTAGTCGCCCCCCCCCCCAAAAAAAAACATGGCGCTTACGAACATATTTGCCACATTTTATGTGACGAGTCGTCTACTCGAGTTATTTTTCGTATGTGACAACTTTTATTTGTCACATAAATGCTAACACGCCAGCTTTTCAGCAAGTATAATTGTCACATAAAAATTGGCCAATTTTCGTTATCTCACATAAAAATTGTTCGTGTAGACGAGGCTTAAATCATTGAAGATGTGCAAATTTCTCGCACGCAGTTCATTGNGCAAGTATAATTGTCACATAAAAATTGGCCAATTTTCGTTATCTCACATAAAAATTGTTCGTGTAGACGAGGCTTAAATCATTGAAGATGTGCAAATTTCTCGCACGCAGTTCATTGGTTCATAATCTTTACTTATTTGCATGGCTATAGGCAGATAAAGTGTTACTCCAAGTGCGGTTACGCAGAGTCAGAGAACAGAGCGGCTTTACATTCGCCAGGCGTTCGTCATCTCTTTAATGTCTCATATAGCCGAATGATCGCTGATACAACTGACTGGGTTTGTGGATGACTTAAGTGAAACTATTTTCCAGTTCCGCTTATTTAGAA